AAAGGTGGTAACTAAGTTCATATTTAAAAAGATAGTGATCCTAACCATAGCATGGTAGTTCATAACTCATTTGAAATATTTTTAAACTGGAAATACTCCATTAACCTCCCACGGTGGAAGTGAGGGAATGAAACATACCAAGCCAGAGGCAGAGTTAACCTCTGTTAAATAGGAAACTAGGTGAGACCAAAGCCTGAAGAGGTAGTAGAATCAAGGAAAATTTCCTTTACCTGACAGTTTAGAATCAGGAAATATTGTCATGGTTACATGCATGTGGTGATCTCATAGAAACACATCTAGAGCTGAAAGAGATTTCAGATGCCATCAAATCCACTCCTTCCCCATTTCATGAATGAGGAAACTGAGGCCCATGGGAGTTCAGTGACTTGGCAGAGGTCATACAGGTAGTAAGTGGCAGAGGTGGGCTTTGAATCAAGGTACAATGACTCCAGAGCTAAAGTTCAGCTTCTTGATTTACCTTTCTCATCTCTTGCTGTGGAGTGTGATAGAATGTCTTTGAGTTTGATGGGTTCCTTACAGCCTTCTCTCTCTCTTTTTTTGCAGTCAATAAGGGTTCCTAAATGAATTTAGACAGATTTATTTATTTATTGAAATGTGGAGGGATTAGAAGAGACAGTAGGAAGAGAATAGGTCCAACCAATACAGAGGCCATCTTCCAAGAGCTCTCTCTTCTCTCCTCCTCATCTCACATCCCTTTAATATCATCTTCCCCATCTCCTGCTTCACTTTGTCTCTGAAGACGAAGTGGCCCATGTGTCTCCGCTAGATATCCCATATATCTCCTCTCCTTCTAAATATTCTTGACAGAGCCCAGCACACTAGGCACCTCCATTTCCTCTCCTCTCCCTCTCTTCTAAGCCTTCAACCATCTGGCTGTTCACCTCATCATTCAACTGAAACTACAGTCTCCCAAGTTACCAATGATCTTTTAAATGCTATTAAAATGGCCTTTTTTCCAATTCTCATCTTCTTGACCTCTTTGCAACATTTAGCACTGTTGCTGCCTTCTCTTCCTAGATATTTTCTTGTTTTGATCTGTATTCTTTCATCAACTCCCAAGGGTTCAGTTATCATTTCTGTATAGATGCTTCTTCAGTCCTAGTCTTTCTTCAGAGGTCCAGTCCCACTCCATCAACTGCCAGTTGGACATTTCAAACGAGGTGTCCTATCAGCACCTCAAGCTCAGCGTGTCCAAAACAGAGCTTATTCTCTTTTCAACAGTCTTTGACTCCAAAAAAGATGGGAACAGAAAGGAGTAGTGATTTGCCCTTATTTACATAGTAAGTTAGCTGAACCTAGGACTTTGCAACTTTTCTAACTCCCATTTGAGATTCTATTCAAACAATAGCATACTGCCCTGAGTGGACATGATTCTTCAGCTGTTTGCAGTGTTCATTCTGAGAAGACAGGTAATAACTAGGCGGTTTTTGACTATCTTGATCTCTGAATAGGGTTGAATTAGTGAAAGGTGTGTTTAAGGATGACTACCTAAATAAACACAAGTGGTAATTCTTTAATGTACTTTTTGGGAAAAACTTGGCTTAAAAAAGACTGTACTATGTGTTAAGGAGACTCATAAAATCAATGAGTTCTTTCTAAATATTTAGATTAAATGAAGCATTCTGCCATTCTGTAAACTCTGACCAGTGTTTTTTTTTTAAATTTTAATTAATCACTTCATTTTTAGTTTTCAACATTCACTTCCATAAGCTTTTGAGTTTTAAATTTTATCCGCCTCCCTCCCCTCCCCCCTTCCCAAGATGGCATGCAATCTAATATAGGCTCTACATTTACATTCTTATTAAAAATATTTTCACATTAGTCATGTTGTCAAGAAGAAATAGAACAAATGGGAGGAACCATGAGAAAGAAGAAACAAAACAAAGAGAGAGAGAGAGAGAGCAAATAGAATGCTGCATTCAAACCCCATAGTTCTTTCTCTGGATGTAGATAAGCATTTTCCGTCCTGAGTCTTTTGGAGTTATCTTAGATCCTTGTATTGCTGAGAATAGCTAAGTCTATCAAAGTCAGTCGTCACACAATGTGGCTGTTACTTTGTACAATGGTCTCCTGGTTCTGCTCATTTCGCTCAGCAGCAGTTCATTTAAGTCCTTCCAGGTTTTTCTGAAGTCTGCCTGCTCATCATTTCTTATAGCATAATAGTGTTCCATCACATTCATATACCACAACTTGTTCAGCCATTCCCCAGTTGATGGGCATCCCCCAAATTTCCACCACAAAAAGAACTGCTATAAATATTTTTGTACATGTGGGTCCTTTTCCCATTTTTATGATCTCTTTGGGATACACAGCCCTAGAAGTGGTATTGCTGGTATGTACATTTTTATAGTCCTTTGGGCTTAGTTCCAAATTGCCTTCCAGAATGGTTGGATCAGTTCACAACTCTACCACCAATACATTAGTGTTCCAATTTTCCCACTTCTTCTCCAGCATTTATCATTTTTTGTTTTGTTGTGTTAGCCAGTCTGATAGGTGTGATGTTGATACCTAAGAGTTGTTTTGATTTGCATTTCTCTAATCAATAGTGATTTAGAGCATTTTTTCATATGATTATAGATAGCTTTAATTTCTTCTTCTGAAAACTTCCTGTTCATATCCTTTGACCATTTCTCAATTTGGGAATGACTTCTATTCTTTTAAATTTGATTCAGTTATCTATGTATTTTAGATATGAGGCCCTTATCAGAGACACTGATTGTAAAAATTCTTTCCCAATTTTCTGCTTTCCTCCTAATTTGGGTTGTATTGGCTTTGTTTGTGCAAAAACTTTTCAATTTAATGTAATCAAAATTACTTCATAATGTTCTCTGTCTCTTGTTTGGTCATAAATTCTTCCGCTCTCCATAAATCTGACAAGTAAACTATTCCCTGACCAGTGTTTTTAAAGAAAGATAAATTATATTAATTTTAGAATGCTATAAGTAGTTAAGGTAACCATCACAGAAATTCTTTTTGTAAATTATCTTGGTCTAAAAGATAAAAAGTCATACCAAATTCTATAGGTTCACATATTAATTGAATCATACCAATGACTTACAGTTTATTTATTGAAGAATGGTGAAAAGTGTGTGTGGGAGGGTATGATTAGTTTTCAGATGAACTAATCAAAGCTATATATAGCTATATGAAAAATAACTTACTATTGATTGGAAAAATGCTAATGTCAGTTAATAGACAATAAAGGTCTACTATGTGCCAGGCGCCAGGGATACAAAGAAAAGCAAAAGAACAATCCCTACCCTCAGAGAGCTGCCAGTCTAAGAGGGGAACACAACACATAAAAAGATGCTGAAAGAGTAGGGAGGGAAGGGTGCCTGGTTAGGGACATGATTTAGTCCAGTAGCCAGGTGGGAAATTATGAGATGGCTGTCCTCTTTAAATAGAGAATTGTCGAGGAGCTCTCCAATGTCTACACACTATCCTTTCCCATCCCTAGGAGTAAGGGGCTCCAGAGGCCAGTCATACTGTAGAGGTGTGAGTTAGGAGAGGATTAGCTTTATTGTGTCATTATTGCCATTTGATCTTTGTAGTCCCCGTTTGCCTAACCTGTGTGAGGTTTGGGTGAGGATAAGTTTAAGTTATATATTAATCTTGGTGATATACAGTTTGAACTAATTCAACTATATTTCACCTGGTTGGTGAGGACCTCCTTTCTGAATTAGGTTGCTTCAAGCTTTCTTACTTTATCTGAGTAACTTGTCTTCTGCCTGGCTCCTGTATGATCAGTTTCATTATTATGAAGTGAGTGGTTGTTCCATTCAATCTGAATATGTATTTTAGTGTCGCCTTACCTAAACAGATGCTGATTCTTGGGGCTTGCCCCAGAGATTTATGTCACTTTAACAGCTTGAAAGATCCAAGAATATTGTAGATCGGAACACCTTTAGGTTGGATGCATAATATCTCACTGTTTCTGGTTATGGGAATGAGCAAATAAAGACAAACAACCAATATATATGCTATTCCTTTACTTTGACATTCATATATTGAACTAATTGCTAACACACTGATCATTACCCTTGCATCACTTGACCTTTCTCTTCCTTGTCCCTCTCTATTTATTAGCTTAAGCTTCAGAGTACTTAATTTGAAGAAGTTAGCTTGGTGTAAAGCAGAGCTATCAAACTTGCTACAGGTAGGCAACCACAAAACTCTAACCAGATTAAACTGTAACCAGATTAAAATGTAATTGGGAAATGCTTAACTAAATAAAAATGCAGTAGAACATAGATAATGTTAATTTGTGGTTCTCTAAGTCAACATGAGGCCCACATTTCTATTTGAATTTGGCACCACTTGTGTAAAGGGATTTAGGAAATTTAGGTTTGAATCTTGGTGCTGCCTCAAATTTGCTGTGTAACTTTGGCCAAGTCAGTTTCACCCCTTGGGGCATGTTTCATCATCTGTAAAATAAGGGGGGCATACTAAGTGATAAAGATGGTCTTTCACCTCTAAGATTCTATTATTACTGATTTTTCTTTACACTGTGCTGACTTGCTTTTAATTAGCATGATCTCTCCAACGATGCTTCCCCTTTCTTCCTGCACTGTACTCTATGGTTTTCTTAGTTCTCATCTAGCTTTCTGATATTTTTTTCATCCCTTTTCCCCCACCATCCTTTTCTTGTGTTAGAGAAGTACAGTTTATACAAGAAAAAATGAAAAGTCAGAACAAACCTAGGCTGGGCATGTTCATTTTAATTCCATGTTTTCATTCAGATTTACTGAGCACCTACTATGTACCAACGTTGTGTTTAACGAATCACAAAGATGAATACGAGACAGGAGGATATGAGAGTGCAATAATAGACTAGTTCAATAAACTAGTCTAGTAATAGAGAAATTGCCCTGAGAATTCCCAGGAAGAAAAGAAATGCTTCCTGCTAAGCCTGACCATGAAGAAAGGGCTTCATTAATTAGGTGGCCTTTGTTCTTAGGCTTAGAGAGAAGAAGGAACCGGACTGAAGCGTGGGAAGGAAGTGAATTCTGTACAGAAGAGGAATAGGGTCAATCAAATCTCAGGTACGTTGGGTGAACAAAGGGTGCTTTGGTGTCTAGTGTGTATAAAAGGGAATAGAGGGAAACAAAGATAGTCCAGCCTCCTGAAAGACAAAGAAGGAAAGATGAGCTGAGACGACTTCATAGAGGATCTTAAATAAATGCCAGGAGAAGTAGTTCAGACTATTTGGTAGGAAATAGGGGATCTTTGAAGTTTTTCAGCAGTGATTATGTGATCGGAGTTGTGCAGGATAGACAGAAGTGGCAGAAGTAGATTTGAGTTCAATATAAGGAAAACTAACACTAATTGCTGTTCAAAAGTAGAATGACTGTTGTGAAGATAGTGAGCACCCCATCATTTGAGGTCTTCAATGGATGCTAAATGACTGAGTCAATTTGACATGCATTTATTAAGCACCTGCTGTGTACCAGGCACTCTGCTAAGCACTGAGGATATGAAAAAACAGTCCCTGCTCCTAAGAAGCTCATGGTTTAATGGGGGACACCACCTGCAAACAAACTGTACAAACAAGATATAGATAGGGTAAAGTGGAGATAAATCTCATGGGGGAGACACTTGTTTGTGACCTTGGGGGATAAACTTGGGGGATATGGAATGGACTAGATGACTTCTGAGGTCCCTTAAAATACTAATATTCTATGACTGTCAAGATTAATCTGGTTGCAACACTGAGAGATGGCTTGGAACAGAGCAGGATTAGAGACAGGTATAGCAACTAGAGTGGTGGTAGGAATTGATATGAGAGAAACAAAGATGGCTCTTAATGGTAGACTGGATATAGAGGAGGGCGGATTAGTGAGAGGGATGAATCAAAGAGGACGCCAAGGTTTAGAACCTCAGTGATAGGGAATATGCTGGTAGCATTAATAGAAAAAATCAGGAGAGAGTAGGTTCGGAGGGAAGGCTAATGAATTTAAGTGTTGATTTTTGAGGGTCGTCCGGAAATAAGTTATTTGACTCTTCAATCCTGCCAAGCCAGCCTTCTTGTTCCTCACATAGTACATTCCATTTCCTGTCTCCATGCCTTTGTCCCCCATACCTAGAATGCCCTCTCTCCTCATCTCCACCTCTTAGAATCCCTAATTGCCTTCAAAATTCAGCTCACATAGCCCTTCCTACATGAGGCCTTTCCTGATCCCCCAGCTGCCGTATGCCTCCCCATTGCCATGTATTTATTTTGTATGTATTTTATATATTCCTATTTGTGTCCATATTGTCTCTCCCTATAGAATGTAATCTCTTCAAGTGCAGAAGCTGATTTGTTTTTGTATCTGTATTGCCATTAGCATAGTGCCTGGCCCATAGTAGGTCCTTAATGAATGCTTATTTATTGACTAATGTTCTTTTTGCCCAGTATTCAGTAGGAAATGTGAGACTGAAGTTCAGTTTGAGGCTGAAGATAAAAATTTGTTAATCATGTGTATAGCAGTTATACTTGAAGTCATAGGAGTTGATTGATGTTATTAAGGGAGAGAGTGTAGAAAAAAGAGACCAAGACTGAGGTTAGAACTCTGGGAAGAAATTAAAGGGGTAGGAGGAGGAAGTAGCAGCTAAAGAAGAAGATAAAACAGGAAAGAGTATCTCAAAAAGGAGGGGATAGCTGAGACAGGGGGCATGAGTTTGGCTAAGAAGAGGTAAACTGGCCTGTGTTGGAAATGGAGCAAGTCAAAGTTCTCTTGCTAATCAGAGCAGGATTGGCAGTGAATGGCCCCCAATTTTCCAATCTGGCCAAGATAGGGAGACCCGCTCTAGTAAAAATAAATAAATAAAAAGGAGGAGGTGGTCCCTCATGTCAAGCACAGCAAACATTTATATAATTATAATGATTCTGAAGCCTTAATTATATGTCTGCTGCCTTGTTAACGTAAGTGTTAAATATCTTTGTTAAGTATGTTTTTGTAAATTATCTATTTGATATACTGTACTAATTAGAAATAGAAAGGGCCTTCTAAACTTGATAGGACAAATATGCAAAAGCAAATTTAAATGAATTTGCATAAAAGGAATTATAACTAGTTTTAGCTTATAATTCTAGTATGTACAATGTTTTCACACATAATGCATAGTAACATATATCATTACTCTATAACTTAGTTTTTGTGATCTCTTTTCTCAGAAGATATATAATAACATAAATGGGAGGGTCCTACATTTTTTCCCAAGAAACATTTTAGTTTTTTAAGAATGACTAATATATGAGTTTAGTTTGTAATTGTATCATTTCATATCATTTATAGTGGTTGATTTTGCCAAACGAGGCTGCCTCCCAGTGCAATGATTCTTTATTTTTGTTAGTATATCACTAGAAAGGGGGATTGATGGGTATGTGGAGAATTAAAGCTTCACTTTTAAAAAGTATATTTTTTATTCTTAATTTAATAAACACCAAGAAGTAACACTGGAAAAAATATTATATTTGAAACCTTGATTTTCTGTTATATAGAACCTGCTTTTTTGAGTATGTAATAAATTTAACATGTTATTTTAAAAGCTTTCCTTGTTTATTTCCTTCTGAACTTCCATTTGTCCTCTTCTATGCTTTTTTAAAAAATTATTTAGTGTTTTATTTTTCCCTAGTTACACATAAAAACAATTTTTAACATTAGTTTTTAAAAACTTTGAGTTTCAAATTCTCTCCTTTCCTCCCTGCCTCAACCCCCCTCATTGAGAAGACAAGCAATTAGATATAGGTTATACTTGTGTAGTCATGTAAAGCATATCCATAATAGTCATGTTGTGAAAGAAAACATAGACAAGGAAAAAAAACTTCAATCTGTATTCAATCTGCTTAAATTTGTATTCAGACACCACCAGTTCTTTCTCTGGGGATGGATAGCATTTTTCATCATAAGTTGATCAAAGTTGTTTTGGGTCATTGTATTGCTGAGAATAGCTAAGTCATTCACAGCTGATCATTTTAAAATGTTGCCATTACTTTGTCCATAGTACATTTCACTTTGCATTAGCCTTTATGGGTTTTTCTTATGCAAGTCTTTATGGGTTTTTCTGAGAACATCCTGCTCATCATTTCTTATAGTACAATAGTATTCTATCATAATCACATACCACAATTTGTTCAGCTGTTCCCCAATTGGTAGGTATCCCCTCAACTTCTAATTCTTTACCCCAGAAAAGAGCTGCAATAAATATTTTTGTACATATTAATTCTTTTCCTTTTCTGTTTTTTATCTCTTTTGTGATACAGACCTAGTAGTGGTTTTGCTGGGTCAAAGGGTATGGATGGTTTTATAGCTCTTTGAGCATAGTTCCAAATTGCTCTGCAGAATGATTGAATCAGTTCACAACTCCACCAACAGTGCATCAAAGTCTCTTTTTTCCCACATCCCCTCCAACATTTGTCATTTACTTTTTCTATCCTATTAGCCAATCTAATAGGTATGAGGTAGTACCTCAGAATTGTTTTAATATGCATTTTTCCAATCAATAGTAAGTTAAAGTATTTCTCATATGGCTATATATAGCTTTGGTTATTTCATCTGAAAACTAATCATATCTTTTGTGCTTATTTTTATAAATGTGACTCAGTTTAAGAAATGAAGCCTTTATCAGAGAAACTTGCTTCAAAAAATTTTTTCACAGTTACTATTGCTAACAGTTTCCCTCTATCCTTCTCCCCCAGCCCCATTTATTCTGTTCTCTCTCTTCTTTCACCCTTTCCCTCCTAAAAAGTATTTTGCTTCTGACTACCCCACCTCCAGTCGGTCTTCCCTTCTATCACCCCCTCTCCTCTTATCCCCTTCCTTTCCTACTTTCCTATAGCGTAAGATAAATTTCTGTACCCAACTGAGTGTATATGTTATACCATCTGTTAGCCTTCTGATGAGAGTAAGGTTCACTCTCCCTCTCACTTCCCCCACTTCTCCACTGTGAAAGCTTTTTCTTGCCTCTTTTGTGTCAGATAATTTATCCCATTCTACCTCTCCCTTTCTCTTTCTCCTAGTACATTCCTCTCTCACCCCTTAATTTTATTTTTTAGATATCATCCCTTCATATTCAACTCACACCTGTGCCCTTTGTCTATTGATACTCCTTCTAACTACCCTAATAAGGAGAAAGGTCTTAAGAGTTACAAATATAATCTTTCCATATGAGAATGTAAACTGTTCAACTTTAATAAGTCCCTTATGATTTCTCTTTCCTGTTTACCTCTTCATGCTTCTCTTGAGTCTTGTATTGCAAGCCAAATTTTCTATTCAGCACTGGTCTTTTCATCAACAATGCTTGAAAGTCATCTATGTCATTGAATGTCCAATTTTTCCCCTGAAGGATTATACTTAGTTTTGCTGGGTAGGTGATTCTTGGTTGTAATTCTAGCTCCTCTGACCTCTGGAATATCATATTCCAAGCCTTCTGATCCTTTAATGTAGAAGCTGCTAAATCTTGTGTTACCCTGATTGTGGCTCCGTGATACTTGAATTGTTTCTTTCTGGCTGCTTGCAGTGTTTTCTCCTTGACCTGGGAATTCTGGAATTTGGCTATAATATTCCTAGGAGTTTTCCTTTGGGGATCTCTTTTAGGAGGTGATGGGTGGATTCTTTCAATTTCTATTTTACCCTCTGGTTCTAAAATATCAGGGCAGTTTTCCTTGATAATCTCTTGAAAGATGATGTCTAGGCTCTTTTTTTGATCATGGCTTTCAGATAGTTTAGTGATTTTTAAATTCTCTCTCCTGGATCTGTTTTCCAGGTCAGTTGTTTTTCCAATGAGATATTTCACATCGTCTTCTATTTTTTTATTCTTTTGGTTTTGTTTTATAGTTTCTTGATTTCTTATAGAGTCGTTAGCTTCCATTTGCTCCATTCTAATTTTTAAGGAATTATTTTCTTCAATGAGCTTTTGGACCTCCTTTTCCATTTGCCCAATTCTGCTTTTTAAAGCATTCTTGTCCTCGTTGGCTTTTTGGACCTCTTTTGCCATTTGGGTTAGTCTGTTTTTTAAGGTGTTATTTTCTTCAGTATTTTTTGGGTCTCCTTTAGCAAGC